GACCGTCTTCTCTGGAAATTTATTGCTCTTAGGTTTATGGATTATAGAGATTGTTTCCTTTTCTGTTGATGATTCGCAGTTGCAAACGTATGGCTCAACACGCTCAATCAGTTATATTCGGGATAACAGATGGCACATCGTGGTTAAGTTTGACTTCAAAAATTTCCATCTTCTCAGGCGTTCTTTAATAATAAAGAGAAATTTTCCAGTTTTACTGCTCCCAATTTTTGTTTGATTTCTTCCATTTATTTCAGTTAATTTTTCGTTAATGTTTATTTTATCAAAAAATTGAATATGGTAAATATGCAGTTATTGCACTTTTTCGTAACTGCTGACAGTGAATAGTACTATTTTTGTCATTTCCTTTTTCATATTTCCCTTCAATGATTAATACTTCTTTAGAAAGTTTTGCTTGGATATAATTGTTTTTTTCTTATTGATTACTTAAAGACTTTATTTAATTCATTTTATTTTTCATTAACAGAAATATTTTTGAAAGCATAAAGAATTGAATAAAAATATCAAACATAAAACCTTACTTGAAAATATCAAATGGTGAGTTAAAGGCGAACGATTAAATAAACCAATATACAAAAAAAGCCAAAACCAGTGCATTCGTATGGTTCTGTAAAGTAACAGCATTGGATAAACCGTTAAAACATTATCAAACAAGTTTCGCTCAAATGTCGCGACAAAATAGCGACGGTACGCGACATAAGAGCGACAACAAATTCGTGGCAATTCTTGTAAGGTATAATTCCTTTAAATCGAAAATTTGCATTTTCTACTTTATTTTAATGTGGCAGTAAACTTGGATCGCCAGCACCACAGTTACTAATTAAGTTATTTTCACTGTCGTTGCTAAGAAAACTAAAAGTTTACTCGAAAATGCTAACCACTTATTAGGAATTAATGAAAATATTGCAGCCAAAATAATTAAACATATTAAACGAGATAAACCAATGAACGAGGTATTAAAAGTGAATAAATCCAATCGATAAATTTCAAAAATAAATCAAAATAAAAAGTTTATTATAGAAAAAAAAATTTATAAAAATTACAAAAATTTTTATTAACTAAATATATTTCTTGCAAATATCGTTAAATAATTAATTCATTTTACAGTTTTTCTCATATCAGTTATTGATAACAATAATTATTATTACGAATTTCCAGGAATATAGAAAAATTTATAAAATTCGAAGATGAAGAAATTCACGTACAATTCATAATATATAGGCACTTTTATTATTATAAAAAACGACTAAGATTTTTACATAATATTTCATTTGTTTTTATAATTATTTTATGACTCGAACAACTATGGTGTTTGCATAAAAATTACATTTTTTTTGGAATTTCCGATTTGAAATGAAATCAAAAAATGAAAAAATTTTCTTTCCCTTTTATGAAACAATTTCCGAAACAGAAAAACAAAAAACAAAACTGCGCTGTTAAAATTGCGCTGAATGTTTACAGAAAATTCTTATTTTTATGCGAAGAAATAAATTATTCACTTTGTACATTTATTTTACGATGGATCGAAAATGTTCCATAGTTGCCTATCTAAGTATGGAAAAAGATCGAAAACTGGAAAAAGAAAAATATAAATAATGTTAAAAATAAAAAACTCGATGTAGCGATGTCCCATGTGTTGCACAAATTCAACGATCTTTTTGAATTGAAGTCTTTATGCCTTCGAATTTTCTAATTGAGCTTCCTTTTTTTCCTCAACCAAACTCTTTATAATACATTTGCGAGCTGAGCGAGAAAGTAATTTTACTAAACTAAAGTAAAACGAAACTAAACTATAGTAATTTAAACTATAATTAACTATAGTAACTATAGTAATTTAATTTAACTATAAACTATAGTAATTTTACTATCTAACTAAGTAACTAAGTAAGTATAACTAAGTATTTTACTAAACTAAAGTAACTAAGTAAGTAAGTACTAAAGTAAGTAAGTAAAGTAATTTTACTAAACTAAAGTAACTAAAGTAATATTATTAGTACGCACTAAAAGTTCTTTTTATTTGATTCCAATACAATTGGTTGTCTTTAAATCGAAAATACCAAAAGTGTAATCATTATTTCACTTGTTTCCGCCATTATAAAACAATGGAATAAAAGGATTTTCCATATTTGGATGACGTAAAAATTTGATTGCTTTTTTATAAATTTACGAAATTAATTTACTCACTTACTAAGCTTTGACAATATTTTAAGTATTTCGAAATTTGTGGGTAAAAATTGACAAGATTTTTGTAAAATTATTCCTAAATGATGCAAACATATAAAAAAGAAACATAAAAAAAAAAATATGGTTAACCTCAACAGCGAGTGCTATACCAGAGGCCCAGCAGCTTTAGGGTACTGCGATTAGCGCCTTGTCTGTTGTTCCTGGTAAAGTTGGCATAAGCTTAATAATGTTAATGTTCGTTCATTCATGAGCGTTTCTTCCTTAAATCTGAAAAATCTTGGCAGGAACTCGCAGAAAATGAATGATGAAAAAATCGCTTTTGCTTATTCGACATGAAGTATCGAATTTGAAATGAATTACAATATTTATATTATATTATAAATACAAATAAATTTTTAATCATTGTTTGAAGATTTTTATTTAGCAAAATAAAGGGATGTTCAAATAGTGCTAAATCAAATAATGATATTTACTTTCGAAATTACTTCTTATATATGTAAATTATTATTAAAATGGTTTTCTNAAATATCAAATGGTGAGTTAAAGGCGAACGATTAAATAAACCAATATACAAAAAAAGCCAAAATCAGTGCATTCGTATGGTTCCTTAAGAGTAACAGCATTGGATAAACTGTTAAAACATTATCAAAAAATTTCGCTCAAATGTCGTGACAAAATAGCGACGGTATGCGACATTTGAGCGACAATAAATTCGTGGCAATTTTTGCAAGGTATAAGTCGTTTAAATCGAAAATTTGCAATTTTCATTTTCATTTTTACTTGGCGATAAGCTTGGATCGCCACACCACATTTTTTAATTAACTCACTTTCTCTGTAGTTACTAAAAAATTAAAATTAAAACTCGAAAATGTTAACCACTAATTAGGAATTAATGAAAATATTGCAGCCAAAATAATTAACATATACGAGATAAACCAATAAACGAGGTATTAAACGTGAATAAATCCAATCGATAAATTACAAAAATAAATAAAAATAAAAAGTTTATTATAGAAAACATCAAAAAAAATTTATGAAAATTACAAAAATTTTTAACTAAATATGTTTCTTGCAAATATCGTTAAATAATTAATTTATTTTATAATTTTTTCATATTAATTATTGGCAATAATAATAATTATTATACTAGTTGCATAAGAATATAGAAAATTTATAATTTAAAAATTAAAATTTAGAAAAATTTGTAAAAATCGAAGCTGAAGAAATTCACATGCAATTCATAATATATAATAATACAACAATGGATTTCGAATAATTTCGATTGAAGCAAAAACGGAGTCAGCGGAGTCAAAACAATGAAAATATTCCGAAAACACAAAAATGGTTTCGCAACTTAAGGCACTTATAAAAAACGCCTAAAATTTTTACACCATATTTCACTTGTTTTTATAATTATTTTATGATTCGAACAACTGTGATGTTTGCATAAAAATTACACTTTTTTTGGAATTTCCGATTTGAAATGAAATCAAAAAATTTTCTTTCTCTTTTATGAAACAATTTCGGAACAGAAAAACAAAAAATAAAACGTTAAAATTGCGCTGAATGTTCTCAGAAAATTCGTATTCTTATGCGAAGAAAGAAATTATTCATTTTGTACATTTATTTTATCATTACGATGGATCGAAAATTTTCCATAGTTGCCTATCCAAGTAAGGAAAAATATCGAAAACTAGAAAATGGAAAATGTAAAATATAAATAATGTTAAAATAAAAAACTCGGTGTAGCGATGTTCCATGTGTTGCACAAATTCAATTTTCATTGAAGTCTTTATGCCTTTAAATTACTTTCTAATTGAGCTTCCCTTTTTTCCTTAACCAAATTCTTTAAAGTAAATTTGCGAGGTGAGCGAGAAAGTAATTTTACTAAACTAAAGTAAAACGCATTATTTCACTAAAAGTTATTTTTATTTGATTCCAATACAATTGGTTGTCTTTAAAACGAAAATATCGAAAATGTAATCACTATTTCACTTGTTTCCGCCATTATAAAACAATGGAATAAAAGGATTTTTCCAAATTTGGATGACGTAAAAATTCAGTTGCTTTTTTATAAATTTACGAAATTTATTTACTCACTTAAGCTTTTACAAATCATTCGAAATTTGTGGGTAAAAATTGACAAGATTTTTGTAAAATTACTCTTAAATGATGCAAACATATAAAAAAGAAACATATAAAAAAGAAAATATGGTTAACTTCAACCGCGAGTGCTATACCAGAGGCCCAGCAGCTTTAGGGTTCTGCGTTTAGCGCCTTGTCTGTTGTTCCTGGTGAACTTGTACATGGTATAAGCTTAATATGTTCGTTCATTCATAAGTGCTTCTTCTTTATATCTCAAAAATCTTGGCAGGAACTCGTAGAAAATGAATGATGAAAAAATCGCTTTTGCTTATTCGAAATGAAGTATCGAATTTGAAATGAATTACAATATTTATAATTTATATTATAAATACAAATAAATTTTTTGTATCAAATTTTCACTCATTGTTTGAAGATTTTTATTTAGCAAAATAAAGGGATGTTCAAATAGTGCTAAATCAAATTAAACCAAAGCTTCACAATAATGATATTTACTTTCGAAATTACTTCTTATATATGTAAATTATTATTAAAATGTTTGTAGAATTGTTTGTGAATAATTTCCACTACTGATAATCTTCAAAAGAATTATCTTTATAGGTTGGCATAAAGTGAAATTATAATTCAAATGGTCCTAAAAGGTCCTAATGGTCCCAGTTCGTGCACATTAATTGCTTTCCGGGAAACTGCCAACTATGCAACTAATCTTAACAACGATCCGTAAGTTCAATATAATCATATTTCTTTTTCATTCTGATATAAATATCAATTTTTTTAACGGTTATTTCAGCAATAAAAACTTACTTTACTTAAACTTATTTTACTACGATAGAAATTATGGAAATATTTATTAATCGTAGAAGCTCAAACGGATTTGATGATTATAAAGTCGCCGAAAACTGTCAAAAATATCCGAGGCTGGCTGAGAACCTTTGCCCGAGTACATGCGCTTTGTGCTGCAAAACGTTGGACTATAGTTGCGCTGATCGTAAGTAAAATACTTTTTCCCTAGATAAAAATGTTTTGATATCCATGAAAATAGTGGTCTAAATAAATATTCTTTTAATAATTTCCAAATAAATTTTATTATAGTTGCGAATTGCGCGAATATCACTCGTGCAATGTGTCAAACGGCAGGTTTCTACGATGCTTTGTTAAGAATGTGTCCGCGAACTTGCGGTCTTTGTCGTCGACCAGGTGCTGGCAATAGATGTCCAGATACAATCAAGGAATGCGGCATTTTAGTAGGATTAGATGGTTGCAGTCATGCGAGGATAAAAGAATTATGTCAGCGTTCATGCAATTCTCTTGATTGCTTAAGTCGTAAGTTTTTTTTAACAAGTTTTTTAAAAAAAATTTTTAATTTAAAAATTTTTTTAAAAAAAATATATTTTTTAGAAATTACCACAAACTTTTATATTACATTTCATCTCTTTTTTAATGAATTTTTTTGCAAATCGACGAAGTTTTTTGACGGTATTTCATCAAATATTTATATAATTGCGCATCTAATACCTATTTACGATAGAAACTACTGCACCAGCGTTGTCGGTTTGTCGCGATGAACGAGTTAATTGCCGCTCGAGACCAGACCTGTGCGTTGGGCCATACGCAGCGGTATACGCAAACCAATGCAAATTTACTTGTGGTCTTTGTAATAGAGGGTGAAAACCCTAATTTTTTGTACGCTTAAAACTTCTTTATATTTCATACGGTTTAAATAAAAATAGGCAAGAAAATTTTCGTTATATGAAGTTTTAAATAAATAAATTTTCAATTTCTGTCACATAATACAAATCACAGCCAATGGTACTCATCAAAATCGCTCATTTAACTTTGTAATTTAATTCCCCTCGGCAGCTCTATCATTTCAAATAATAAATGAAATTCTGAAATACTGAAATTATTGTTTTAAACAACAGAAATAAAAATCGTTTGCATTATTAAACTATGACATTATCTTAGGCATTTGTGATAAAATTGATAAATTACCATATGATGAAGCTGACTTTTAATTATAATAAAATAAAACCTGGAAAAAATCTTTCTCTCATCATTGATGAGGCAGCGTGATAATGTAAGCCTCGAAAAATGAAATTTCTGCCCGTAATATCGTAGATGTTTCTAGTAATGCGATCTTCCGAACAGAGATCACTAATGCCGTTCCTGTTGCCCAATGAACCCACTTTTCTATTTGAGGAGTTGCACGCTCTATCGCTTCTTTTACTTTTGAAATGATTTTGACCTTCCCTCTTCACTTTTTCAGTTAATCTTCCAGTGGTATTTTCTCGTGGTATTTTCTCATTCATGTTTTGCTTGTTCGGAATCTTTTATAATCTTTCGTTATAATAATATAATTCACTAATGCTTATTTCCGGTTCTTTTTTACTATCGACTGTATAGAGTATTTGGCATGTATATATATATATAACCAATTGCTTTGAGCTATTAATATTTTTATTTTAGGCAATGAAATATTGCTAACTGATAAAAAAGAAATTAGAAAAATATTCAACAGTAAACTTTTTTTCCTTATATCTCACAAATCTTGACGGAAATTCATAAAAAATAAATGATGAAGAAACCGCTTTTATTTTATTTGCTCAAAAAAGATTAATAAAAATTGAAACAAATTATAAAACGACAAATATTTGCCAATTTTATTGTTTGTTAGCATAAAAAAGTAATCTCATTATATTTCAAACTTTTCATCATTGACTGAAGTGATTTGGAAAAATTTTTATATAAATAATACGCAAATTGTGCTATATCAAATTAAATCAAAACTCCATAATTATAATGTTTCTCTTCCTCTTTCTATTTCTTTTTGCGAAATTAGTCAACGGAGACGATCAAGATATTGATCAGTGTGTAAAGAATGTGGTGAAAACACAAAGACCGGGAAATGAGGTAAAAAAACGTCCCAGTATAGATCCGAGCAGTTGCCATGACCTTGACGCCGGTTCCTGTACATTATTCAATCTCGAGACCGCAGGCAATTATGCGATTAATCGTAATAACGACCCGTAAGTATAAGTTAGGAAAATTTCCTTTTTATTTCGATATTAAGATAAATTTTTTTTATAGTTATATTTTTTTTTTTCAGTAATATTTAATATAATATTCAATGTTATACATTATTAGTTCAATCGAAAATTCAATCGAAAATTTATTAAAAATATTAATGAATAAAAATCATAGAAGTTCTGCCAATTTTAATCATTATAAAGTCTCTGAAAACTGTCAAAAATATCCGAAACTCGCCGAAGATCTTTGTCCGAGTACGTGTGCGCTGTGTTGCAAAACATTGGACTATAATTGCAATAATAGTAAATTATATTTTATATTTTCACTTATAAACTACCTCAATATTTTTGTAAATATTGTAAATAAAATATTGTAAAAAATACTGCTTTATTGTTATGACAATTTTCAGTCGTCTTTTATTATAGTTGCAAATTGCGAGAATATCACTCGTGCAATGTGTCAAACGGCAGCCTTCTACGATGCTTTATTAAGAATGTGTCCGAAAACTTGTGGCCTTTGTCGTCGACCAGGTGCTGGCAATAGATGTCCAGATACAATAAAGGAATGCGGCATTTTAGTAGGATTAGGTGGTTGTAGTCATGCGAGGATAAAAGGACTATGTCAGGGCTCCTGTAATTCCCTAGATTGTTTAAACCGTAAGTTTTTTCAATGAAAAGATATTTTTTAATAAAGTTGCCACAAAGTTCAATGCTGCACTTTATTTTATTTAAGGGTGTTTTCTGTAAATCAATTAATTCAATTTTATTTTATTATACATTTGTATGCACTAATGCCTAATTGATTGCAGAAACTACTTCTGCGCCGTCATCAGCATTGCAACCATGTCGCGATGAACGTATTAATTGTGGTTCGAGACCAGACCTCTGCACTGGACCATATGCAGCGGTTTACGCAAACCAATGCAAATTTACTTGCGGTCTTTGTAATAGAGGATGAAAGTCCTTATTTTTTATAACCTTAAAACCTGTTGAAATAAAATCTGTATCGAATTTTATTGCGAAAATCAATTTACATATAAATAAAAAATAAATAAAAAATATTTAAATAAAGAATAAATAAAAATTGCAAAACAAATTTTATAAAAGTGAATCTCATAAAAATCATGAACTTTCTCTCCATGTTAGATTTTCAATTCTTTCACTGCATACCACTGTATTTTCCTTCAGCGGAAATAATTTCGCGAATAGAAACCTTGAAAATACCCTTCTTTTTTTTGTCTTCCTAGTTTAGCTCGTTGAAATAGTATTCGATATGATTCGATTTACAATAACGAATACAGTTTTACTAGTTTTTTCTGCAATTATCTTTTTTTCTTTGTTAACTGCTTAAAACAGATATTTTGTGATATATTTTTTTTGAAGAGTCCTCATCATTACTGGTTAAACTCGCTCCACTTGCTTCTCGCATTGGGTAATATGCCAGGGAGTTCCTTGGCGATATATAAGTAATACACCAGCATCGCCAGCATCACTCGTTTTTTTCGTATAGATTTTCTCCTGCGGGAAATCGAACCTCAGCATCGGCGTTTTAAATTGAATAACTACCCACTGAGCCATTCTTTTTCCCAAAATAATAATAGTAAATTTAATTTTTAAACTTAGGGAATAATGCAATTAAATTCTAATATCCAACCATTTAAAATTGATAATTCATGAATTTGTATATAGGGAAAGAAAATTGTTTCTACTTTCTGCGCCCAGAAATTGAAAATACTTTTCCATGATCATGCTGTGTCATTAAAAAAATCTTATATTTTAAGCGAATAATTAGCAATATATATTAGAATAAATAAATTTATATAATTATAATTAATATGGATATGGATAATATTTTAAAGCGAATTGCAGTAAAATAATAAATTGGCAAAGCTTACATATATTTTTTACAATCTTATAATTGTTAAATTATAATTTTTATTAAATTTAATTGTTATTTTGTTGAGAATAGAATATTCTGAAATAGGGTTGAAAAAATTTGATCCAAATTTCTATATTGAAAATCAAAAATATGCAATTAAAATTTATGCGTGCTGATTTTTAATGTACAAATATGACAGAGAAGGTGAGAAGAAGCCGCGTAAAGTTTAGCAATATTTCTTTTTATATAAATATTTCCGAAAAATATTTTTCAAATGATGGAAAAATAATAAATTAAGCGATCCGTTAGAGTTTCTCTTCTATTTTTTGTTTAATCCTTCATCATTTTTATATTATATATCATTTTGCATTTCTTCCTTCTTAATTTTTCCAATTTGGAAAGACTAAATAAACATACTTTATAAAATCCTTACAACTTTTTGTGGTCGCTAATATTTTGCCTTATACTTCGGATTATCTCTCGCTATTTTGTCGTTTAGTCGACTTTGTTTGATAATGCTTTAGTGATTTATTTTATAAAAGTACTTTACTGAAATGCATTACTCTAATTAACCTTTAATGCAACAGTTCATATTTGTATAGCAAATATTTTTCATTTTTATCACTACTTTCAATTTTTCAAAATTTCCCAATTATCTTTCTAGATAAATATAAATAAAATTTAATATAAATAAAAAATATAAAATATAAATATAAATAAATAAATTAAATATAATACAAAACTCATGCAAATTAAATAATTTTAAAGATATTTTAAGCAATGAAAAAGAAAAATATCCCGTTCAAATAACATATTTTGCATTCCAATTTCACCAATCAAATTCTCGATTTGTGAATTGATTTGAATATTTCAGAAAACGAAAAGAAAACATAAAAAAGGAAAAAGTGAATAAACTATTAATCGTCTTCATTTTATCCGCAAAATTCATCGTCGAGATTTATGCCTCAAGGGCAGATTTATAAGTTTCATTCAGCTAAAGCCAGTAGCAAAAATAAGCTACAAATTATCCTATTTTTTCTTTCTTATATTTTGATTTTTTTTTATCTTTTTTATTTATATTTAAATAAATTTGTAATTTGTAATTTTATCGAATTTACGCATTTACAAAACCATTTTTGCACAAAATTATTATTTCTTCTTTTTTCTAAATAAATAAATTTGTTTAATTATGCTAAAATAATAAATTCTCATACAGTCGGAAAGCGCAATCAATGAGTGAAATGTACTCATTTGTTCTTCGTATTTCATTTATTTTTATAGGTGCCTCGCAAAAGCAATATAAGCAATAATGATTCGAGTAAATTAAGAATTATTATGACGGTTTTCCACTGCATTCTGAATGGTCGTTCCTGCTTAATTGTCAAAAATCAATATGAACGGATTGGAGAAAATTTTAAAAACCTAGGTGAACTATGAATTTTTTCTATAATAATTTCTGCATATTCACTTGCACTTGCACTGCACTTCTGCACATGAGAGGAACAATATAATTAATATTTTCCTGAAAGTGCTATTGCTGCGATAAAGTGTGCTATAAGATGAATTTGTCCACTGATTATTCTTTACTTCTTTTACAGCAAAGAATGGCTGTGAATACATAACGAAGAAGAGCTTTGACTTAAATTTTTATTTTTTATTTAATACTTTGTCGCCTTAAAATTTTGGTGCTAAAAATTGATTGCATAAACTGAGAAACTCTTCGTTAAAAATTTTCAAAATTTCTTTTTTCTTTATTTTTAGTT